GTGTGTGTGTGTGTGTGTGTGTGTGTGTGTGTGCACGCATTTCACTCAGAGGATGCCTTGGAATGGCTGTCTTGAGCTTGTGATTATATTTCAACAAGTTTAAATGGAAAATGTCAGTTTGCTTATTGACATATGTAAAACATTTTGCATTTCATTTTTTTTTTTTTTTGCTGTTGTTGTTTTTTATTTTAGCTCATTTTACAAATTTATCGACACTCTTAGTTTCATTGTTTTTCATTGTATCATTGAGATTACTGTCACCTTATGTCTCATGTCATAATTAAAGTACTGTACAAGAAGGTGATCTATTAGTACTCTGAAGAAACCAATCCTTTTGATGAGAACATTAATTGTCTCCATTGTGAATCCAGTAAAGCATCAAAAACCTTTATTTATAAATTTCAGAGAGAGAGTCTGACCAGGTAGTGGTGCCCAGTGACCAGTATGGCATGTTGGTCAGCAGTGTTAACTGCACTGGTCATCCTCACACTGACCAGTGAACCAGGAGCAAGGGGAGCCAAAGAAAACTCCAGATTCTACTGGAGGCCCAACTTTGCCATGCCGTGGACACGAGGGTAAAACTGCTTTCAAATTTCTTTCAAACATTTTGTCCTTAAAGAGTTAAAGAAGTATATACTTAATTAAACCTTCCTTTGATCCTTGATTTGGACTTCCTTTTTGTTTAAAAAAAAAGAAAGAAAAGGAAAGAAAAAAAGAAAAAAATATGCCTGTTTCCGCTCAAAGTGGTCAACTGTTAGATGCTTTGTTTTCTCAATGTTTAGTTGTCCTCACAGGGTAGCTTGACAATTAAGCTTTCAACCTTGCACTCAGAGCACATTTGACTGAAATGGAAATAGACACAGCTGCTAGGTGCCCTATGATGCGAAAAGAATTACAGGGCATCCTTTTTACAGAGTTGTGTATATATATCCACCCCAGGAATTGACCCCTTTCTCAAGATTTGCATGTGTACCATATGTTTCTGGATATATACTGTGTCTGTCCATGTCATTGCTGTTGCTGTCCAAAACAACAGTCCCCATGTTTTACTTTAAAATAACTCAGAAGCATATTCAGGCCACATTTGGGAATTTTTTAAAAAATTTTATTTTATTTAAATGTGGGTGAAAAGTATAATTGGTGATAATTGTTACAGGATATACAGGCCTACTGCCAGCAATTTCAAAAGGCAGGTTATTTTTCTGAAAAGTGGACCTTTCACCATGAAACCTTGGTGTTCCTACGTAGATAAAATTTTACCCAGAGGGGTCCTGTTCTTGGGGGAAAAGGGGCAGTTCTTTCGAAAAAACACCCCCTCCCCCTAGCAATGGACCTGATACACTTAGTAGTGCTCTTGACTATTGATTCTTTACATCTTTTGCTGTGAATGACTTCTTCTGGGTTGAAAGAAAATATGTAAGGGTGGGTAGATGTTGTGTCAAATTAAGGAACCTCACATCTTATATTGATTTATTGCAGCTTTTTTGAGAGGTTTTTCCTCTCAGTTCAACCTGTGAGATCTAAGGTCATAACTACTGTGCTATGTATCTAATCATGAGAATCCTTTGCCCTATTCCTTGATTCATAGAGGTGTCTGTTTTGCTGTGTAAACTAATTTTGCTGATTAATAAATGGTGGGCTTATATCAAAGGGCAAACATTCTTGTCCCCGGTACTACAAATTTTCAATAAATCATGAGGAAATTTATAACCAGATCCATTTAAAGAATTACCACATTTGCTTTATTGATTTTATAATTTTATTTATAAGACATTTTTGTAAGAAGAATTTGCTGTATGGATTGCATATCTTATCATTTTCATCATGCACTATTTGACATTTCTATTTTTTTATGATTGACTTTTTCAAAAAAAAAAAAATTTAAACTGGGTTTATCATGCATTATTTTATCATGCAGAGATTTGGAAAGCCATATTTGCTCAAGAACATAATCCACAGGAAATGAACCTGATTCTTACTATATTACAAGCACAATGTACCAATTTCAGTCGACTGTTTAAAACTATTTTTTAATTTGAATTCCAAGTTTCCTTTCCCATCATGCAGTCAGGATTGAAGTCAAAATTTCAGAATCAGAAGGATGCAATTGAAATGTTTTTCATTTTTTCCAAGCTAATCATTCAGCTTCATTCAGCACACTCTCTTGACATTTGTATCCGGTGGTTGGGGTTTAATGAGAATAAATTGTTATTGTTATATGATTATATATCTGGAAAAAGCACTGAAAATGAACTAACTAGTACAAATCACAAAATGCATTAAACCTGTCTTTATATTTTAAATGTTCAAATATCTCTATTTGGTCAGTGTTGGAGGTGCACACATTATAAGAATGTTATAAATGGCAAAAAGGTAACATCTGTATGATGGTAAAGATTTATACATCTGTTAATTGATGCCTTTCCCTTCAATTTTTACTTTATTATAGACAATTTTATATCTCTGCCTCCCATTCTGTCTTCAGTGCCATGAAAAAAAAGTTAAGTTTATATTAAAAATGTTGAATTTATATATCATGTTAATGTAAAATGTATTTCCAGTATTTGACAAATTCTGTTCATTGAGTGCGTCTGAGCAATTTAAGACTTTATTTATTTATTTATTTATTTATTTATTTATTTATTTATTTATTTATTGAGAAATAGAATTAATAAGATAACACATTATATCTGCTTTATCAGGCATGTATGGGTGAAAAAAGTTATAGGAAAAAAGTTTGAAATCGCCATGTGAAATTGTTCATGTTGGATCTGTTTGGATTAAGGTTTAAGTTTGCTGTACTAAATTCTGGTTCACTGTTGTAAAAAAAAAGTCCATTCAGTTTTGCATGTTTCCTGCTCACTTTATTCTGTGGTGATTCTACAACATACAGTGGTTACTTCTCTTACTGGCAGAATTGACATTTTTGGCATGTAGACATTTAGAAAAAAGCCACAGTTAAAATTCTTACAGAAAAACATGAGTGGGAGATCAACATTCTGCAGTAGCCCTTCCTTTAGCTAAATTCCTAAAAGTCCAAGGATTCACCTTGCTACATAGAGTGACAAGGCTAATGAGGAAGATTTTAAAAAGTAGACATTTCTTGTTTCCCAACTATGGCAGAACAAAATTGAAGTAAATGTGCATTCTTATAACAATAAACAAATTTGGAATACTAAGTTATTATTTTTCTCTTTTCTTATCCAATGCTCTGAAGAAAAAAATAACAATCCACACTGCACTGCNTATCCTCAATGTTGAACCAACGTTGAGTGCCCGCTGGGCACATGTTTCTGGATATATACTGTGTCTGTCCATGTCATTCCTGTTGCTGTCCAAAACAACAGTCCCCATTTTTTACCTTAAAATAACTCAGAAGCATATTCAGGCCACATTTGGGAATATTTTTTTAAATTTTATTTTATTTAAATGTGGGTGAACAGTATAATTAGTGATAATTGTTACGGGATATACAGGCCTACTGCCAGCAATTTCAAAAGGCAGGTTATTTTTCTGAAAAAGTGGACCTTTCACCATGAAACCTTCGTGTACCTACGTAGATAAAATTTTACCCAGAGGGGTCCTGTTCTTGGGGGAAAAGGGGCAGTTCTTTCGAAAACACCCCCTCCCCCCCAGCAATGGGCCTGATACACTAAGTAGTGCTCTTGACTATTGATTCTTTACATCTTTTGCTGTGAATGACTTCTTCTGGGTTGAAAGAAAATATGCAAGGGTGGGTAGATGTTGTGCCAAATTAAGGAACCTCACATCTTATATTGATTTATTGCAGCTTTTTTTGAGAGGTTTTTCCTCTCAATTCAACCTGTGAGATCTAAGGTCATAACTACTGTGCTGTGTATCTAATCATGAGAATCCTTTGCCCTATTCCTTGATTCATAGAGGTGTCTGTTTTGCTGTGTAAACTAATTTTTGCTGATTAATAAATGGTGGGCTTATCAAAGGGCAAACATTCTTGTCCCTGGTACTACAAATTTTCAATAAATCACGAGGAAATTTATAACCAGATCCATTTAAAGATTTACCACCTTTGCTTTATTAATTTTATAATTTTATTTGTAAGACATTTTTGTTAGAAGAATTTGCTGTATGGATTGCATATCTTATCATTTCCATCACTATTTGACATTTCTATTTTTTATGATTGACTTTTTCAAAAAAAATTTTTTTAAACTGGGTTTATCATGCATTATTTTATCATGCAGAGATTTTAGTTCTACATTTACTTTTGGAAAGCCGTATTTGCTCAAGAACATAATCCACAGGAAATGAACCTGATGCTTACTATATTACAAGCACAATGTACCAATTTTAGCCGACTGTTTAAAACTATTTTTTAATTTGAATTCCAAGTTTCCTTTCCCATCATGCAGTCAGGATTGAAGTCAAAATTTCAGAATCAGAAGGATGCAATTGAAATGTTTTTCATTTTTTCCAAGCTAATCATTCAGCTTCATTCAGCACACTCTCTTGACATTTGTATCCGGTGGTTGGGGTTTCATGAGAATAAATTGTTATTGTTATATAATTATGTATCTGGAAAAAACATTGACATTGAACTTGTACAAATTACACAGTGCATTAAACCTGTTTTTATATTTTAAATGTTCAAATATCTCTATTTGGTCAGTGTTGAAGGTGCACACATTATAAGAATGTTATAAATAGCAAAAAGGTAACATCTGTATGATGGTAAAGATTTATACATCTGCATATTGATGCCTTTCCCTTCATTTTTTACTTTATTATAGACAATTTTATATCTCTCTCTCCCATTCTGTCATCAGTGCCATGAAAATAGTAAAGTTTTATAACAAATGTTGAATTTATGCATTATGTTAATGTAAAATGTTTTTCCAGTATTTGACAAATTCTGTTCATTGAGTGCAATTTAAGACTTTGTGTATTTATTTATTGAGAAATAGAATTAAAAACATAAGACATTATATCTGCTTTATCAGGCATTTCTGGGTGAAAGAAGTTTAAGGAAAAAAGTTTGAAATCGCCATGTGAAAATTGTTGATGTTGGATCTATGTTTGGATTTTAAAAGGTTTAAGTTTGCTGTTCTAAATTCTGGTCCACTGTTGTAAAAAAAAAGTTCATTCAGTTTTGCATGTTTCCTGCTCACTTTATTCTGTGGTGATTCTACAACATACAGTGGTTATATACTTCTCTTACTGACAGAATTGACATTTTTGGTATGTAGACAATTACAAAAAGCCACAATTAAAATTCTTACAGAAAAACAGGGGTGGGAGATCAACATTCTGCAGTAGCCCTTCCTTTAGCTAAGTTCCTCAAAGTCCAAGGATTCACCTTACTACATACAGAGTGACAAGGCTAATGAAGAAGATTTCAAAAAGTAGACATCTCTTGTTTCTAAACTATGGCAGAACAAAATTGAAGTAAATGTACATTCCAATTACAATAAACAAATTTAGAATATTAAGTTATTACTTTTCTTATGCAATGCTCTAAAGAAAAAAATTACAATCCATACTGCACTGCACTTTTTTTCTTTAGAGCA